ACACACACACACACACACACACACACACACACATCCCCCCCCCCCCCAGCTTTTGCGGGGTTGTAGCCTAACCGCGTGTGGTAACATTTTACCTCGCGATGAAGCCACGAACTACCCCAAAGACCTTTCACCTAGAAACTGAGAAAAACACTACCGTCGCCAAAGTCAAGGACAGAGCGTTAGGAACATCCACCCGGGCCTTCCCCGTGGCGGGGACCGACTGGTCTCCTCCGCGGGCCGCGGCCCCGGGCGCGCGGCAGCCCCAGCGGCCCTCCCCGCGCCCGCCCGCCCCTACCCGGTGTTGGGCAGCATGACCTCCGCAGCTCGGGAAAGTTGGTGGCGGCGGTGGGACCCCGGCGAGCCGTGAGTGTCAGGCGGACCTCCGCATTTAGCCGCGCCCCCGGCCCCGCCCCGAGGCCCGCTCGGGAACCGGCTCTCCCACTGAGGACGCCGGGCGCCGGGCGCGTCTTTCCACAGTTCCACAAACGACACCCGGGAAACCGACGTTCGGCGCATGCGCTTTGGAAGGCGCCTACGCCACGCCCCTCTCCCGGGTCTGGCCGTGACAATCAGCCTCTCCCGCGAACAGGCCTACGTAGGCTGGTCCCCTACGTAGGATCGGCGAGGATCGGCGCGTCGCGGGCTCCGGGCCGGCAGGACAGCCGATTGAGGGGCACGCCGGACTGGCTTGGGGGCGCTGGGCGTCGTTTTGCCCCGTCCATCCCCGAGCCAAGGCTCTTGCTCTGAGGAACGCTTACGGACATCTGAAAAATGTTGCTAAAGCTGGTCAGCGTCGCATTTTCACTGCCCCCGAATTTGGACTTCGCCGGCCTGACCTCCAGTGTCTGGAGATAGCCGGTGAGCTTCTGGAGGAGATCTTTGCAAAAGTCACCCGCAAGAATTCATTGTATGAGAACGTAGCTGGTGCAAGACAGTGATTCCTAAAAAAAATCAAAGATAAAATTGCTGTGTGATTCACCAACTTTAACTCCCGGCGAGTTAAAAAGAGGTTTGCACACCTATATTGGTGTGCATTATTTGGAATAACCAAAAAGGTCTGAGTATGTGTTCTTTGGGGGAAGGGTAAACTAAATGTAGTAAGTGCTTACCATGTAGTAGCACCCGGCGTATTTGTTTGAAACAGGACTTCTCGATGTAGCCCCTCGCTGTGCAGAAACTCACGACGTCGACCTGACTGGCCTCAAACTCACAGTGCTCCTCCTGCCTCTGCCTCCCAAGTTCTGGGATTCAAGGCGTGCCCCACCACTCCCTTAGGGGAATCATGGCCTAGCTGCCTTGCAAGGCATGCCTCATGGGTTTTTCAGGTTAGAGCCTGTGGCTCCTGGGGCACTGTGTGCCTTTAGTTCCCGGAAAACCAGGCACTCCCTCAGGCAGTGAAGGTTTCAGGCTGATTTGTGTTTCTCTGCATGTTCCCTCAGAAGCCAGGGACTCGTGGAAGCTTGACAGGGCAGTTGGTCTGGAACACTAATCTTATGTACCCTGCATAGCTTAAAATGTCATTGTATCCTGGCAGCTACCATAGTATTGATTCTGGTAATCACCCTTATATTCTCTTTCTAATAAAGGTATAAAAAGGTGCCGGACCTGTTTGCACATGCCTTTAATCCCAGCACGCAGGGAGGCAGAGGCAGGTGGATTGCTGTGAGTTCAAGGTCAGCCTGTCTGGGGGTTGGGGATGAGAGACCAAAGAATTAAAAATCAGTGGGTATTGTTTTAAAGTTTAAAAGACAAGCCTGAACAGAGGCCAGCTAGGTGGAGACATGTCCAGTCACCTTCGGTGAAGAACTAGCCTCAATGTCCTGAGGGGAATAACTAGCCTTACTGCATTCTTCCCTGCCCACTAGAGATACAGTTACTAGGAAACCAGCCCATCCCCTTAGGAAGGGAAGCCATTAATGGTTTGGGGGCCTTCCTATAGCCAATCAGTTCAAAATGCAGCATTCCCTTTTGTGTTTAGACCAATCGATGCTTGCCAGGTAGGAATCCTCCTTCGTTGGGCATGCTGGGAGGGACCGGACTCTTTAAATCACCCAAGTAACCTGAGCACGAGGCTCTTGCCCTCTCACTGCTTTGGGGGTGAGGGTGTGTGAGCCCAAGCTGTAGCTTGTAATAAAAAGAGAGTCGTGTTTTGCGATGGACTTGACCTTTTGGGGTCTCGTGAATCAGGCACAACATACTTGGGGCCTCTCCACGATTCCCAAGACCTCTGGGGACTCCCAAGCTGGAGATCAGAACCCCACGTAAGCACTTTTGTCTTGGCCAAGTTCTATGTCTCTGTTCTGTCATTCTGTGTGTTTTTGAGATCTCAAGGTACACAGTGGGTGGCCAGGGATCGGGCATGTCATAGTACACCAGCTGAAGAGCTGGCAGACCAAAGCCACAGGGATCTCGGGAGACATCCCAGAACCCGGTGAGGCAGAGTTCCCCAATAGCACTGTGAGGGATACAGGGTCCCAAGTCTGCTTGACAGGCTTAAAAAGTGGGTTTCTCCCACACAGAGAGGAAGTGCTGCCAACATACTGGTTTGGGGTTCTTGCTTGCTTGCCTGACGGAATATGTTGTTTTGTCTTTGTGTTTGTCTGGCTGCCTGTGGTAACTTGGACTGATGGACACTATGGGACAGACTTCCTCGAACCCTTCCCCATTTCTCTGAACCCTTCCACCTGCTCCACGTTCCTGAAACAGCAGTGCCACCACAGTGAGCATGGGCTGGGAAAGAATTCAAGGGTGGAGACAGGGATGAAATTGTCCTGTGCTTCTCCTGGGCCAGCTAGCAGCCTCTGTTGAGTGAGGGAAAAGTGCTTGAAATTTCAGCTGGAGGAAGTAAGGAAAGTTTTGTCTGTCTGTTTAAATGTATGTATGGCCATTATATGTTTGTTTTTGACTGATCTTAAATGGGTAATATGCTCTGTATGTCTTGGTTATAGATTAAGAGTTATTGGGTATGCTTAAAGGTTAAATTCAAACTCGTTTAGAACATATATGTGTGCCTATGATCTATAAAAGCATAGAGGTGTTTATAAATAGCAACCATGTGGCTGGCTGTGTCATGTGATGTGACTCCGCCATCTTGAGATTGCCACATGGTGTGGGGCACAGCAAAGAAAAAAAATTAACAGAACCTCTTAGTCACAATTAATTTAGTTTTATCATCCTATTTTCTTTTAGTCTAGGAAGACAAATCTCATTTTAACTGGTATTGGTTTTAGAGACTGAAAGTTTGCACTGGTGAATTTTGATTTTATAATTTGTGCCGGAGCCTGCCAGCAGAGTGGAACGATTCTTGAGTCGGGAGTGAGGATTAAAATTAATAATAAAAAAAAACCACACACACAGCACACAGGAGGCTTTTTTAAGAAGGTCCGGACTTGACAGCCACAGCAAGAAAAGCAAGAAAGAAAGAAAGGAAGAGACTGGGATTAAAAAAAAAAAAAAAGAAAAGGAAAGAATAGCTTGTCTAAAGTAAGAATGTCTGATTAAGCCAGAAGAATGGAGCCAGGAAAAGCCTAATGTCACGAGCGCTTAATTATACTGGAGGACTTTAACGGAGACGCCACAGAGGGCAGCAAGGTATTGATAAAAGCCAATGCCAGAATGATTTTTGAATGCTGCTTTAATCACACAAATATCTAAAAGTTGTCTAGCTCATTATACATCCTATGGGGAATACAACCTGGCCAAAGGTACATGCTGGGACACTTTTGCCTCCAGCTTCGGCTGTTTTCTAGGTCCCTGAACTTCGAAGTTCCAGCCGGACCTCAGAGGCATCTTCTGATGACTTGATAGGCCTTGGAGCTTCTCTGCTCCAGCCCGGCTTCGGATGCAAAGGAAGTTGCTGTTGCTCAGGAGCCGTCTTCCAGGGCCAGTCTGATAAGGGGGTCCCTTCAGAACCAGTTTGTTAAGGTAGTCTGGGCTTTTCAAGCAGCCGTTGGAAAATTGGCTGGTTAGTGGTGGTCTTTCGGCGTACTCACCAGAGAGTCTGGCCTGCCACACCCGAGTGGGCTCAGGCTCCAGTTTTTATGCCTTTTTCAGGGCATAGGTTTGACTTATCACTTATTCACACGCATCAGCTGCTAATCGGCTGATATTATTTAATTTTACTACTTAATATCTTAAGGGCATTACTTAGTTGCTATTACTTAAAATATCTTCTTAAAGCTATCCTTGACAGCTTTGCTGTCTTACAAGCTCTCAGTGTCTTAGGGGCGTTGCCCAGTCACTGTCACCAAAAATGTCTCTCAGCTTTGCTCCTGACAGCTCTGCTGTCTTACAGGCTCATTGCACCTAACCTGAAGGTATATAGAGTGTTATGGAAAGACAGAGTATGTATACAAAATGAACTGTATTTGCTTTGGGTTTTCATAACTGCAAATATGATTTGAGAAAGAACTGTTAAAATATGTTGTTCTTCATTTGAAAGGCTGGTGATTTGTCAATGTAAAATGTTTTCCTATGCTCTTTAAAGGGGGAAGAAGACTGCAGCTCCATGTTAGCCCAGGATTATACAGGGTTGTATTCAAGTCCTTGTTAACTATTACATGAAATATATGCCTGACCACCAGTTCCTGCGTGAACGGATTAATGCTTTTCTTTGTGGCTGATGGGTTTGGTGTGTTCAGAACAGTTCAAGTACAGTTTAAAATTGTTCTACACTGCTCTGTTATATAGTTGGTTCTAAAACTTATTTGATTACAATGTTAGAACTTTCGGTTATGGGAAATTGTAAGTGTCCCACAGTGCTTGCTCTACCGTGGGAGGTAAGAATGCCATCAGCGACACCTAATGGCTATGTTTTGAATTGCTGGCCTCGGCCTCGTGCGAGCTGCCATGTTGGTTCCTAGACACAGAGGGTGGAGCAGCTTTGCTGAGGGCCGTGTCCAGTTCCCTGCTTAGTGCTAAGTGCAACTTCTGTCCTTTCTGCTTTCTGCTGTTCAGTCTTAATGCAATGCAGTAGGATCAGCAAGATTTGCCAGCCCCTTTATGCACTGTATCGGGTTGAAAGTTTTTCTTTGATTTTAGTTTGGAAAGATATTTAAAGTTATGCTAACGACTACAGTTGGTTACATGATTGAGCTTTATCTAGTCTTTTGTTTGTTTTTAAGGTTAAGCCTTGGGTGGATAACTATGAAGTTTGTCAGTGTAGATCTACTTGAAATAGGTATGGTCCTAAAACATTTACCTAAGGAGCATGCCAGAATTAGAGATTATAGTGTTCTGTTTTATGGGATGCAGTTTAGAGCAGATAAAAATAGAGAAAGCGTAACTCAGATATGTTGGCCCTCAAGCTTGTCAGAGATCTGATGAATATGGCATTTTAACATGTGTAAGCTTATTATGACAGAGAGTCCCAAAATCCTGGCAGTAGCTCCCCCACAGTCTCCAAGATGATTTGGCACAACGACAGGTGACTGCGATTCTGAATTGTGGTGTGCTAACCACTGGGCAAGGCTGCCCCAACTGGCCCACTGCTAGGGCCCAGCCTAAACTGTGGACAAAGCTGTGGACACCTGA